TAAGGTTACAAAACCCTTTTAACCAACTGTTATTATAATCCCCCCGTAGAAAATTTGCCACGGCATTTTACCTATCCCAAATAATCCAGAAGTTACAAGTAATTCATCCTGGATCAAATATCTAGATTTCTTTCTTAATGCTATCTCTTATGCATTGTTATCTGATCAAATATAATAAATTCAGGCTCCACAGTGTGTCTATCTTCTCAACAAAGTCCATACAGAAGTCTTCTATACAGAAGTCCATACATTTAGGTGTAATAAATCCATTCTCCAATCTCAATCCTTGTAGGAAAGAAAAAATGTCACTTTCTCATTCAGTCAGGCTTCTAGTATTGTAAAGAAATGAACTTCAAAGAGACACATAAGATTGGCTCATAAATTCTCTGGCTGTGGAATCCATATCTCTCTGCAACTTTCATATCAGAGTCCTTTTGGGAACCTAATTTATCCAAAACTAAATGCCTCTGCATATTTTCTATGGGCATTATCTCATCAAAAAAATTAAAAAAACATTTTCAACTAAAAGATGCATGTTACCAAAAAGTCTTTTCTTAGATTTCAGTCTAGCTTTTCTGTAATCTGATACATTATTACTCTGTGAAACATGGTCACGGAACAAAGAACACTGAAGCAGAAGGAAACAAAGATATTTTTTGGATATTTTGAACCAAGATTTTAAAAAATTCAAATGAAATAAACTCTAAATATTTTGCAAATACAAAAATTTTGTAGTGAGAATCCAATAATAATGTAAATCAAATGAAAGCACTTCACCATCCAAAAACATGCCATGTTTTCTTACAGTTATTCAAAACAATAACATAAATCAAAGGGAAACTAATAGAAAAAAACAGACTCCATCAGGGGGTTGAAACAAATCAGCATTCAACCAGCTGGTCAACTTTTAAAGACAAAACGCAGAGTAAAGTAATAAACTCAAAAAGTGAAAAATAAAACCCAGGCTTGCTTAGAAAATGAAATGCTGACCGGAAGCTGGATTTGCCCACTGACTCTGACAACTCTGCACTTGGTGAAACTATGGATAATCACACCCAAATATTTGAAGATTTTAACTTGTTCAGTATTCTAGCCATTTATCCTCCAGTCATGCCCTTTATGTCTCTTTGCAAAAATCAAGATTTGGATTTTGTTGTGATTGATTTTGAAAACTTCCTCTGAACAATAGCATTCAGGGCTAATTTGAGTCCAATTTATTGTGACAAAAGTTGCAGTCTGCATATAGCAGGGTGGCAATATGCCTGTTCACTAATTTTGGAAGGTGGTGTTCTAATTGGTTCATTTTGGGCACAAGTGAGTTTATATATAAATTAAACAGCGGAGCAGCTAGAATACATCCGTGCCTCATTCCTCAGTGAGTTTGAATTTTCGTGGTATAGTAGCTTTGCATATTGCAGCAGACTTTGACTCTAGAATTCTAGAATAGTTTATGCATGAGCAAAAGTTTGATCTGGGAATTAGATCAAATTAGATGTATATTTTTCAGCCAGATGTATATCTTTTGGCCAAGACATATCCATAGATTATCCAGACCTGAAGCCTCTTCGCTCATCATTTAATATATGCTCTGAATCAATCCAATCAACTAGTTCATTAGCTTATTTATTATGCTTAACAGGCTATTAGGCCTGTAATTTGTAGGCAAGTGTCCTGTGCGCATCATTTGGGCACAATATTAGCTCAACCCCAATCCTCGGGAATCTGTGCAGTGTGATCAATAAAAGTAAATAGAGAAACAAGAACAGAGTTGTCCAATCTATATTGTTTCATACTATTTCAACTCTTGAGTGGCATACAACAAATCAAAATAATTATTCAAAGATGAAGCAATATAAAAGGTTTGTTATACCATTACTCTTGAGGGCTCCAGGTTAGCCCAACCTCTGGTAAAAAAAGCAACATTTTGAAACCTTTTATTTTTTTAACAAAGTCGGGAAAGGAGTAGACATTTGTCAGGATATAGGCAGGAGCACTGATAGAGAAGGCATACCTCCTATTAGACAGCATTGTTATCGTGAAAGAACCTGGAGCATGCAAACTCTGCCAGATGGAACAGGATGGGCAGATGCTATGGGAGATAAACAAATTGCCATAAATATCCAGGCCTTATGATAACTAGTGTCTTGAATTGTACCTGAAAACCTAGATGTTAGATGGGCACACTGAGCCATGCTGTGTTCTGAACCACCTGCAACTTCTGAGTGGTCTTCAAGGGCAGTGATATGTAAAACACATTACAATAGTCCACATATTAAGGTAACCAAATCATCACCATCAGTCATCTGACTGTCCATAGAATCTCCTGATCCAGTAAATGGTACAATTAGCAAACAGGATAAATCTGTGCAGAGGCCTTCTTGCTTACACTTAAAACAATGCAGGCCACCACCTGCTCCTTGAACAGACAGTACTGCGGACCCAGGGCAAGCATCATTCAAATGCTATGTCCTGGATAGAAGAAAGTTAATTTCCAATAATCTTTTCTGCCATCCTCGCCTCTGCAGAACCTTCCTGTCTGGAACAGAAATACCTCCTAGTAATCTAGTAGTCTTAGCTGAACCTGTTTTGGAAGTCTCGCCACACAAAAGTCAATTCCTAGTTTTCATAAAAGTCCAATTTAAATTTAAAAAACCCTAAGTTATTGTTCAGCTCTATAAAGAAGTGAAAAAGAAACTCCGAAGAGAGAAAGGTGTCTATTGGATCAATCCAAAAGTCCTATTTCCCATAAGCTTTCAGCAAGGGCATTGAGGCCATCTCCTCTGACTTCACTGCCTTGCCCTGATATTAAGAAGGGTGTATATTTGTCATTTGTCTGAAATGTTACTCCTTATCATGCAGCAGAGAGCAAGCTAGTTACCCAGCACGTGGGCCAAAGCTTATCTGTGATGCCATTTGCTATGGCATATGCCTGGAAGAGCTTGCCGCAGTCTTATCACAAAATAAGGAAAACTGTTTGCCATCTCTAGCAGACTGAAAGGACAGAATTTGGAGAGATAAGCAAAGTTCAGTGCTGTTCCTGCTGCCAACATAAGGTGGAAGATATTTGCATAAAGACATTTCAGAAGAATTGTACCAAGCCTCAGACTTGGTAAAGAGAATTATTTTAAATAGATGGAAAGAAATCTACACTTCTGATGTTATGGAATGGATTTATTCTAATTCAGCCTAAAACCATCTGCCACGCAATAGCTCTTCTGCAGTTCTCATTTTTTTTACAATTGGACAAGCAACATTGAATTCCAGGTATAGTGTCCCAGGATCATCAGAGTAAGGAAGAGAACTGTATAAGCTGCATTTTGATTCTCTCTCTTAGTCATGGAAGTGTGTTGGGCCAATGTGAGAAACTTGTCACTGCCTATGAACTTTGAAAAAAATATGAACAAAAGGAACAATTCAAATTCTCTTCCATCCTGACTTTCCCTCAGAAACTTACTGCATGTTGACATTTTCTGCCTTATGTGCTAAAATAATTTGCCTGAATTCAGTGTTGGTAAAGAGAGAGAGATCCTGGGGCTGGGATTTCTGATGTTTCTTAGGACACAAAACTCTTCCATCTACCATTTATATGAGATCCATGAGGAAAGTAATCCAATAGCATGGTGTCAGGTATCTGTCCAATATAAAATCATCAGATTGTACATCTTGACCCCTGGCTGACCAAGTGAGGCTATTGATGTGCTTTCTCATTGCCTGAAGATAGAGTCTGAAAAGAAGGAAGAGTTGAAGCTCAAACCTAACAAGAATGAATAGTTTGGGGTTTATAGATCAGCTGTGTTGAAGATCTGCCACCTTTAATTGTGATGTGGTTGTACTTCCCCAGACCGAACTGTGATATAAACTGAACTCACGACTCTTGCAGAAAGAGCAAACAGCAATCATTTTCCTAGATCTATCTCATACTCTTTTCTGGATTAGAAGAAATTGCTCACGGTTATTCATGCCTTAGACACCTCTCAATGTCCTCTGCATGGAGCTTCTTTTGAAGATCATTGTCTAAAATACAGCCATAAGACCAGCTATGAGTGCACCTCAATATGCCCAGGTGACACCTCTGCTCCATGTGCTACATTGTTTACTAGTGAGCTTTTGGATTAATTCAAGGTTTTGATTGTCATCTATAAAACCTGTTCATTCTTAATGAACAACTTTCTCCTATTATCTCTGTCCATCTTATATAAGATCACAGGGACAGTATGCTTTAACTCCCAGTAACTAAACAGTGTCATCTTGTGAAATACCAGAGTCATGTCCAGTCCCCTGGAATACTATTCCCACCCAGAGGTAGCTGATATAACTTCACCTTTGTTCTAAAAACCAAAAAAAGTAGCTTTTCAAAGAGGCCAGAGGTTAAGACAAGTTCTGACTCAGACTAATGGATGATTGGTAGTGTCAACATTCCAGAAAGACCAAACTTCAACACCAAGACTCCGAGGCAGGCATTTCTCAAAGTCCCATTTTATTAAAGTTAACATATTGGCACATCTGGGAAAACCCGAATCTAGAGTTCCTGGTTTTCCCCACAGTAATTCAAAACACAAATCCATCCCCTGCACCCATCAGTCCATCACATGATCCAATCACCATGCATCCCAACTGGAGACATCCCTTAACCACTCCTCATCCAGGTGCAGGAAAGACATGACCTTGACTGCAAGGAAGAATGTTATTATATCTAACTACCTACACTTTACAAAATCCCCCCTCCCAATTTCCCAGGCACAGAAATGTGGCAGCATGGAAGCTTCTAGTGCTAATATGGCTTCCAAAGCTGACAGGTAGCTGGTAAGTATTCTTCCCATAACTTATTTAATTTTATATTGTATTTTAATGGAGTTTAACTATGTACAATGTCTTAAGTCTCCTGATTTAATGACCTGATAAATAAACAATGCAAATACAAGGGGAAAGGTACTGCATTTGCTCTGGAGCACTACTGTTGAGGGTAGCTCTGAGGTTAAAGGATTGACAAAAGTGTGTAGTTGTAATACAACATGAACTGTCTCTATCCTAGTGCATTGCAGGCAATTGGGGTATGATTCCCAGCTATTCCTGACAAATGCCCAAGCTGATCAGGATAAACTAGGAGAGGTAATAAGAGTGAGAAGCCTACTTGTCTGCCTTCCTGCTTCTATCAAGATGCATTTGGGACATAAAAGTCTTCTAAATGCATAAATAAGTGTGGAGAGTCTCAGGGAGTTGTTCTGCCTATGTTCCTCCCTCACTCATCAGCATTTGCATGTCTTGCTGTGCTTTTTATCTGTATGCACCTACATGTCTATCCTGCCAGGAAAGGCCAGGCAAGCACTGAACACAATTCCCTATCTGCCCAGCTGATAACAAGGAAAAGGTTATCTCTGATTAGTGTACATCTCCAAGTTCTCCACCAAGAAAGGCCTCTATCCCCTCCTGCTGCTAATTGGGGAGATAGCCAGAAAGATGCTCATGTCCACCTGGAGGTATAAAAAGGACTCAGCTACACTGAGAGAAGCTGGCAAAAGGCAGTTGTGCTGTCGCAGGAAACCCAATTCCCACCTTGCAGAGCTCTCAGCCATGCCCAAGTTCCTCCTGGCTCTGGTGCTTGGAGTGCTGCTCTCAGAGAAATGGCTGGTGAGTGAAGCCAGGACCCCTCCTTATGGTGTCAAGCTGTGTGGCAGGGAGTTCATCCGTGCTGTCATCTTCACTTGTGGAGGATCCCGCTGGAGACGAGCAGGTGAGCAAAGGGGATATTGGCAACTTGGGGTAGACTAGTTAAGGTAGAGCAGCCTCTGTGATGTTATATCACAGAGGCTGCTCTACCTTATGGGATATCTTCCACACAGAATAGGACTATGATTCCAATTATGTAGAACTGTGTTAGCTGGGAATTACAGTTCCTAAAATTCCCAGCTAACATAGTCCTGGATAATGGGGATTTTGGGTTACCATCTTCCAACACCTAGATACTTTGGTGCTTCACTGATGGGTGCTTCACCAAATATGGGTGCTTCACCAATGTGGAAAATTGCTTCCTATCTTTTTGAAGGAGAAAAATCAAATAAAACACCACTTCTAAGATCTAAATATTAGACAAGATTGATAAACTGCTTCATCTAATGAATATCATACCAGACTTTAAGGAGATTTCCAGTATATTATACAAAATGACCAATCTTTTTATTCATGTGTAAAGAAAGGTGGTGTTAAGTTTGAGGAAGAGTTAGAAAAAGACTCTCTAGGTTTCGGTTCCCAGACTATAGGAAGCCAGATGTTAAGAAGATGCAAAAAGAAAACCACAAATCGTATAGCAATAGCAATAGCACTTAAACTTATATACTGCCCCAGTATATACATCATGCTTTAGGGTATCCTCTGGGCAGTTTGCAATGTCAGCATCTTTCCCCCAACAATTTGGGTTCTCATTTTACCAACCTTGGAAGGATGGAAGGATGAGTCAACCGTGAGCCTATCAGGATCAAACGCAGGCTGCTGCATCAAGGCAGGGCCATACAATTTTTAGCCCTTTGCCCCATTACCTTTGGCTCAGCTTCTTTGATTCATAGCCCTTAGGGTATTTTCAACAAATGGTGACTGAGAAGACAATTCAGGGATACTGCCTGCCATTCACCAACAACCTTAATTAACTTTCATTTCTCAGTTTGTGCAAGTTGGGTTACAATTCCCATTACCCCAGTCAGTAAATACTTTTCTACATGAAATGTGTCACCCATATCCTCCCAAGAATGCTAGATTGGAGTTAAAAGTAGGTATAATCTGTCCAGTTGGAATCATATAAAAATATAGGAATCCACTTTATTGTACAGTATTAGGTTTTCCTTAATGGATTATTTACTAATGGATAATGCAATACTTGGCTGGTAGAAGGCATTCCTGTAGAAAACAGGAGGAGTCTTTTCTGCTCTACCAAGAGATGCTGGAAACCAAACGTGGGACCTTTTGGGTGCAAACCTTGGATACCATTTGAGGAACACACCTTATCTGGTACTGAAAAGAGCGCATACATAAAGAAAAATGCAGAAACACATTGAAGTAGCATCCCTTCTTCAGCCGGAGATACCATAATCCTCTCTTAAGCTTTAGCCCATTTCTTCTTACCCCTTCCTGTCCCTCAATTCAAAACAGAAGCTATATGACTGAAAGCAATTGGGGTTGGAGGAAGAGGATATGATTACAAAGCTATAGACAAGGGACAGGTTAAACTTCCCTGTCTGGGAAACTAAATTGCAAGCATTTCCTTCTAATGTCTCCCCACCTTTCAATATGCTTTTGGTTGCCCAAACAAGATCTGATGGCAATTAAATTGACAAGTGGCATTTTCCCACCAATGTTCTGAGGCCCAATCCTGCAGTTTATACTAACCAACAATCATCTTCACTTCCACTGACATTGATATTTAGAAAATGCTGCTGACCTTCCCCAACAAAAAAGATGCTTGAAATACCGAGACTCAAGCCCTGTTTGAAAGAGGCAAATCTGAAGGGTTACAACTGAGTATCTGCTAATCTTAGAATTTGTTTAGCCTTCTGCTTCAGGGCTATTTCAGATATTTTATTTATTTACAAAACATTAATATTACCAGAAAAGTTAATAACAATTCACTAAGAAAGCCTACAAAGTATTTGTTTTCCAAAGGTGTTATGAAAAATGCAGGTTTTGCTTCTTCTGTAGAGGATGTTAAATGTGGGGGTTGTCTAAATACTTATTCGGCTTCCTTTAATGCTTATTACTTCAAGATGTTCTGATTCAATTGACTTCCTAGTGCCATGTCCATTTACTGAGCCCAATATGTTGTCTCTGATCTCCCGACTTTCCAATGTTACATTCTCATTGTAGGAAATCTCAGCACTCTCCTTGGGGGAGATCCTGCAGAAGCATTTGATGCATCATTATCCAATGAATGGAATCTAGTGCATTCCTCCCAACAGGATCCTTCTGACAGTTATGGGAGCTGGCAAGGTCGGCAGAGCTATGCCCTCTCCGAAGAGCCCTGGTCTTTGGATCGCGGAGCCCGGGATGTTATGGAAAGCCTGAGCAATGCCTGTTGCAAGTGGGGCTGCAGCAAGCGTGAGATCAGTTCTTTATGTTAGGTAGCGGTTTCCATTTACCACATGTGTTCCTTGGTTAAAAAATAAAATAAAACAAGGAAGTATACTATAGAATTTGTGAGCTTGAAGATTTATTAACCAGCATGCATGCAAATGCAAACATGAATTCCTCCATGAAACACCCATGCCTTTCATCAAGGCAGACACTGATTGTCAGAGGCCTATGGTGAGCGTGGATCCCACTTACTGTACATGGTTTTTACTTGCTTATAAAGTGCTCTGCGGGTCTCGTATGGAAGCCTTGTTAACACTATTTCCATTAATTGTAGGAACATCAATGAGCCTCAGTCACAACCAGAATGGATAAGTTAGGTACATTCCCTTGTCTCTTGTTCCACTCAGCTGAAATTAGTAGAGCTGGATCAGAGGTGGTATTCAGCAGGTTCTGACCAGTTCTGGAGAACCGGTAGCAGAAATTTTGAGTAGTTTGGCGAACCGGTAGCGGAAATTTTGAGTAGTTTTGAGTAGTTCGGACTCTGGCCCCACCCCATTTCTTCTCTGCCTCCCGAGTCCCAGCTGATTGGCTGGGTCTTCTTCTGTTGCCCTGCACAGGAGAACAGAAAGCAGGTTAGTGGGGTGGGAATGGAGATTTTGCAGTATCCTTCCCCTACCACGCTCACCAAGCCACACCCACCAAGCCACACCACGCCCACCAAGCCATGCCCACAGAACCGGTAGTAAAAAAAATTGATTCCCACCACTGAGCTGGATCTACTGGAATGGCTGGGCACCAAGGAAGGTTCGGGGCAAAAGCAGAGAATGTCTGGTGGAAAAGTATAATGCAATGGCTTTCTGAGTGTTGGCAAGAGTCATAAATGTTTTCTCACATTTGATAATTTATAAATGAACTCATGGTGAGATGAGCAGCAAATAAATTTAATAAACAATCCATTTTTTATTATGGTCACAGACCAGCATTAAATTTAATAAATAAATTCTTGGGTATTCGAGTTGGTCTCACAATGAACAGCTTTCAGGGTGGTGGTGCTTCTGTGGTTACAGTATTCATTTGACCTCTTTAAAGAGGAACTAAGCCTGCTGCTGTGAGATTCAAATGACCATAAAGCGAAGCTGAAAAGCAAAAAAAAAAAAAAAAATGAAACAAAATAATGAGATACACTATGTTGACTCAGAATGGTTTGGTTTAATGGGGACATTCAACACAGATTTGTTTTATTTTGATGACATCAATTATTCTCAAATTATAAACACTACAAGATGTTTGCCTAACATTTCCAAGCAGCTCGACAAGTTTACCAAAATGCAAACAGCCTAAAAATGTTGAGAAGAGCTGGAAAGATTTAGGGAAAAGCCAGTGACATTTCTTAGAGTGGTTGTGTGCAATTTGACCTGGAACAATCTGCCATAATACCAAACTTTTGAGAAAATGTAAATCATATTAATATCATGGTATTTTCTTCTGCAACTGAGCTAAAAAAGGAAGACTGACTGCTGGGGTATACTGAATTGTATAAGCCAGTTTCCCCATTAATCTACATATGTGAGATATGTACAACTCATGCTATTCTTAGTCAGAATTAAGAGAATGGTGGTCTGATAGATCAAAAGGATGCACACATTGTGGGAAGGAAATTGCAATTGCTAGAGAGGGCTTCAATTTCCCCTGTATAATTTTTTTGTGCATTTGTGAAACTATTTGGATTCTGCAGATGAAAAAAAAGTATTTATACTGATTTTCAGCAGTTGCAAAGCAACAGTAAATGTAAAATACAGCTAGGTATCCTCTATTTGTGTTTTGCATTTGGAAGATATTTATTTTCAGGTGGGAGGGGGAGTAGAACTCCTTAGCATCAGAGCGTGTAAAAGCGCAGGTATCCCTCTTGTCCCCAACACATTTCCATTCCTAATCTTTGCTTTACACCCCAGGCCCCACTGTGTCTTGGCGGTCATGTGTTACCTGGGATAGGGATACATGACTGTGCATCTTATTGTGACAACCTGATATTAGATATACTCAATAAACTTATACATGTATATTATCTATATCTGCAAGACCTCACATTCTGTACATAGCAATCCCTCCTCCATTTTGCCCCTAACTTTAATATTTAAATTTCACAATCCCCTGCAAAAATCACCTGCCTCCTAGACATAGGCTCACCAAGCCTTTTCAGTTACTTCAGTGTTAGCAGATGGTATAAAATAACAGGATCTATTTTATATAGCAGGCTTCCAAGTGGAAGTACATTCTGTTTTGCTTGGGTTGTTATCTTCTGGGGTTGTTTTTTTTTTTTACAGCTCAGGGATTCCTTGGTGGTTTTCTCCCAAAATAATTTAACACAATTTTTTTTTTTTGAGAACAGCAAGGCTTAGATACTGCCTCTACAGCAAAGGCATATGCTAACCACACAGTCACCCACACTGATTCCCTGGCATACATAATAAGTGCAAGGGCAATATTGGCTATTTAGAGTGTTCACTGTCATAAAATGTGATCATGGCCACAAATCAAGCAGCCAGTTCAAAAACTATCAGACCAATGCCAATCAAATCTTATTACCTTCTTTGATAAAGTAAATTCATGGAAATAATAATATACTTGGAAATTTAGTAAGGCATTTGACAAAGTAGATCACAGCCTGTTTCTTGGTAAGATAAAACAATGTAGGAAAGATAGTATCACTACCAGATGGATTCACAATTGGCTGACCAACCATACTCAGTGTCAATAGTGGGATTAAATTTTTTTTAACTACCGGTACTATGGGTGTGGCTTCATGGGCGTGGCAGGGGCAGGACACTGTAAAATCTCCTATCAGAGATGGTATTTGCCAGTTCTCCAAACTACTCAAAATTTCCACTACCGGTTCTCCAGAGCTGCTCAGAATCTGCTGAATACCACCTCTGTTCGGTGTGTAGTCTTCAATCTATGTGGAGGGAAGCATGCAGTGAGGAACCTCAAGGTTCTGTCTTCAACATCTTCATAAATGATCTAGATGAGATGGATAGAAGGGGAACTCATCAAATTGGCAGATGACGCCAAGCTGGGGGGAATTGCTAACATTTAGCAAGGTAGATTCAAGATTTAGAAGAATCTTGACAAACTTGAGCAGGGCCCCATTCAATGCAGTTTAGTGGTGAGAAAAGTAAGGTCATGCACTTAGGCAGAAAAAAACCAAACACAGAGTTATAGGCCAGGGTTATCAAACTCGCGGGCCGAGGGCCAGATGTGTCACATGCATCCAGAGGTCATCAACTTTTTCTCCAAAATAGGATAAAAAGCAATAGGTCGAAGTTCATCAGAGGGAGATCCAACCTGGAACCAGGGGTGGGCTGCTACAGGTTCACCCGGGTTCAGGTGAACTTGTAGCTAATGTTATAGCCAGTTTGGTGAACTGTCAAATCCCACCCCTGGCTGGCCCCGCTCCACCCACCCCAACCCTCCCAAGAGTCTCCATGTGGCCCATTTTGGATGTGAGGTAAGTGCAGGGCCTGTGTGGAGGCTCGGGGAGGGCACAAAACAGGCCTCCTGGAAGTTTTGGAAGTCTGGAAACTGTGGTGGTCTCTTATGAATGAAGACACTGAGGCAGTCGTCTTGAAGCCAGATCGGGATGAGAGCACAGGGCAAGCTCTGACACCCTCTTTTATTAGAAGCAATCTTTGTTAACGTTTGCAATTTTTTGTTAGTGTGTTGTTACAAACTCATTACATCACACAAAATACCATATGAGAATACAAAGCTGTAAAGTTTAAGTTTGCTACAATTCTGGGTAAGAAGTGGCAACATTTCGACCTTGTCCCTCGCCTCATGTTACAAACAACTACCAGAAGGCCCGTTGTCCTTGCACGCGCGCGAGGAAACAGATAGCAATTCCCACAGGAAACGGGTCTATTTCCGGGCTCCAGAGGGCCTCTGGAGCCTGGGGGAGCCCGTTTTCGCCCTCCCGGAGGCTTAAGGAAAGCCTCTGGAGCCTGGGGAGGGTGAAAAATGGACCTCCTGGAAGTTGCGGAAGTCCGAAAACGGGCCTAGTTCCGGCTTCCAGAGGGCCTCCAGAACCCAGGGAGGGCAAAAATGCTCCCCCCAACTGTGGTGCAGGCCGACTAGGTCACACCCACCATAGCCACGCCCACCCAGCAACTGGGCAGGGAACCCATTGCAGAAATTTTTGAAGCCCACACCTGCCTGGAACTATGAAGAAATTTCCTGACAGAATAATTAATCAGTGGCATTCTTGCAACCAAATGGAGAAAAATAAGCAAGGACAGTAACTCATGCATTGATGCAGCAGATACACTTCTATGCAAGATCCTTATTGATACATCCAAATATTGGGAGGAATTGATTTAATTGCAGCTCAGGGACATGATATATCCCCCACCCCTATTGGGATATCAAGACTGAATCCAGCCAACACAGGGCAGGCCTTTTATTTCTTACATCAGGTCACTGTCTCATGCCTCCAAAGCGGGAAATTATGGCAACTGATAAAGGAAGAACGAGGGAATCTGCATCCAGTCACTGGAGAGTAACTTTGAGTAGCATATGACAAAGAAGCGTCGGAAGAGTCCCGGCGAGTATTGATAACTAACAGAATAACCGAGTTGGAAGGGACCTTGGAGGTCATCTGGTCCAGCCTCCCGCTCAGACAGGAAACCCCATAGTACCATTTCAGACAAATGGTCATCCAATCTCTCCTTCAAAACTTCCAGTGTTGAAGTACCCAAATCCTTATTTTCTTCGCGTAGCTGTCAGCCGGTTATATTTGCTTAATGACAAAAGCAATACCGTTGCCCTTTGCGCACTTGCTGGGACGGGGTGAAGCCGGTGTGCCCTCGAAAGGCATCGCCTCCAGTGGCTCTAATGATCTGCCCTGCGGTATCCAGCATGATCCCGAGCCTAAAGCCGCAAGGACGTGCGTGAGTAATCCCGCCGCCTGGGCTGCTTCTCGTTAGCCGCCCAAGTTCCTCCTTTTCGGGCTTTGGAAAGCGCGGCGTGCAGGGCGGAGGCAGGCAGTTCCCTCTTTCGTCTCAACCCCCGGCGATAAACAAGGTCTGAATCAGAAGAGGAAATG